TATTATTATTATTATTATTATTATTATTATTATTATTATTATTATTATTATTTTAAATATTCAAACTCACTTTCTCTCAAAATATTACTGTTTATCTAAATAATTTATCACACATCACAATGTTGACCTCAATGGGCTGTCCAAATAACAACCTTCTAAAACTTGTCACATACTGAACATTTTCTTTAAATTAAATAGCTCCATATTCCTGTAATTTTTACTCAATATTTTCAAGAAATATTTTACTGAAAAGATCCAATCTATAAGAAACTTAAGATATCACCTTTAACATACTATACCATAAACATATTACAATAAATATCCTGCATTATTTAGTGTAAACTCAAAAGCAAAGCCTCTGAGTACCTCCACAAGGGTCGCCTGCTGCTCTCTTTCAGTATCCTGATCTTTCTACTGCTCTGACTTTAGCAAACTTCCCCATTACTTTGAAAAGGAAATAAAAACGCAGAAGAGAGCCAATAATGGAACTACGGTATGTGAATGTGCTATGTGTGGTGGCATACACCCGTAATTCCAGCACCTGGGAAGAGGATGTAGACAGCCCAAGGCCAACTTGGGCGACATGAGACCTTATCTCAAAATATTTTAAACTTAAAAGTAAATAGTAGAAAGTACTTGGTTTTAGTTTAGGCAGAGAGAAAAAAAAAATACCATAATGTTGACATTCACTTTAGTTTTTTGGGGTTTCGTTGTTGTTGTTTTTTGTTTTGTTTTTTGGAACTGTCTTTTTTTAAATTATCATTTATTACCATTTACTCACTTTGTATCCCAGCTGTAGCCCCCTCCCTCATCTCCTCCCATGCCTGTCCCCCAGTCCACTGATAGGGGAGGTACTCCTCCCTCTGACACTAGCCTATCAGGTCTCATCAGAACTGGCTGCATTGTCTTCCTCTGTGGCCTATTTCAAAGACGTTTCTCTATTCAGAACTGAAAGACAAAATTAAGGACTGAATGTTTGCTTGCTAAATTCTAGAGGTATTCTACCTTTTACTCTAAAGATCATACAGTTTTATCATTAGTTTATGATCAATATCACCGATGAATATGCAGTTATTCAGAGGTATCTAGAAAAATTATAAGAATAGAGCTAGATGTATATTACCAGTGACTTATGATTTACTGCACTATGAATTAGAAAGATTCTAAGCTTGTACCCTGAGCTGACAGAGCTCACATTTACTTACTTACTTTGTTGTTGGGGTCAAGCCCATGGCTCTGTTATGCTGGACAGTGTTCTACCACTGAGTTACATGCCCAGTCCTGTCGTCAGTTTCCTAACGCACATGTTCCTGAGTCTCATTTTGCTCAGATAGCTATTCTTACTTTCTTTACAACCTATATATGTAAAGAATATTTATTTTGTAAACATTTCTGTAAAGCTACCTATTAGCTGTCAAAATATTGTACCAGGTTTAGTATCAGAACTTGAGTTTGTATTTTTGATAAGCCTCCTTATATGCAAGTAATTTTCAAAAATAAAACAATCCTAAAAGAAAAAGAAAAAAATGTGAGCCATGATGGTAAGTAACATTTACTGACCATCATACTAAGGATTTCCTTTAGATCTCCTTTAATCAAATTCCCAGGTACACCCTTAATTCAAGGACTCACTAGCCACCATCTAGATGAGGTTGCTGACTTTAACCTGGCCATTAGGACAGGGACCACCAAAGTATCAATGTAGAAGTCAGACTCAACTAGGAAACTAGAGTGTGTCTCAAAAATATGTCTGTCAGAGCCAACCCAGGCCTGCTTAATTTAAATCTTCGCATTTTTTCCTTCAATAAAAATCTCCTATAATGATACTTAATTGTTATCTGGGAATTATCCTAAAAAGTTTCATGATAAACTGAATGGAAAAATAATTTTATTTTTCCTCAGAATGTAATGCCACAAAGAAACTAGGGCTAAGCAGAAATGTGTATTTGATCTGATATCTTGCCTGAAGTAGAACTAAAACAGAGCCAGGGAAAGCCGAGCAGTGGTGGCACATACCTTTAATCCCAGCACTTGGGAGGCAGAGGCAGGTAGATCTGAGTCTAAAGCCAACCTGATCTACAGAGCAAGCTCCAGGACAGCCAGGGCTATACAGAGAAACCCTATCTTGGGGAAAGGAAAAAAAATTTAAAAAACAGCTAAGTAAACAAACATAAAAGTATGTACATAATGGCCAATTAACTATAATTTGACTCATAAGATAAAAGATCAAGATTGTTTGTAGATAACTTAAAATTATCCCAAAGACAACTTTAATATTATTCACTAAATAAGAGACAATTCTAGAGTCTCATTACCTCATCCATATCATTCTTGTCTGAACATTTAGCTCCAGTCACTAGAATAAACATCAAGCATATTGATAAAATACCTATTCCAGTATCTAAGCAAACTACTAACTACCTAGGGTAATTGTGCTGCTCTGTGCAAAACGATTACAGAATCTGTGGGAACATATTATAATGATTTTCTTCATGTAACAGCTACTCCTAAAAAAGGATGCTCAAGGGTCACTAAATACTTACATCAGCACATGTAACATAAACCAGACACTGAATAATCATGTTATAATCAAGGAATAAGACATAATTTTTCTGAGGAAGTTCAAGCCTATTTGCCTTTGAAATACACATTTAGTACATTCTATTTTAAGAGCTGAAGAAATGGTTCAGCAGCTAAAAGAACCTACTGCTCTTTGTAAAGGACCTGGGTTCAGTTCCCAGCACCCACATGGCAGTTCATAATACTAGGCCTAAAAGAGCTGACAACTACTTCCAACCTCTGGAAAGTCCTGCACATCCATAGTGCACACGCTAACACACATGTCCTGGTTAGTTTTTTGCCCACTTGGTGCAAGCTAGATCTATCTAAGAGGGAACCACAACTGAGAAAACACCTTGGTCAGATCAGCCTGTGCACAAGCCTGTGGGGCATTTTCTTGCTTAGTAATTGATGCGGAAGAGCCCAGATGATTGAGCAGAGCCACCTCTGGGCAGGTGTAAGAAGGAAGGCTGAGCAAGCCAGTGAGCAGGAAGTCTCAATAGATTCTGCTTCAGTTCTTGCCTCCAGGTTCCTGCCCTAAACGAGTTCCTTGCGCCTTCACTCCCCTTCATACTGATCTACAAAAAAATAAAAAACATTCCTCCCCAAATTGCTTTTGGTCATGGGCATTTTATCACAGTAACAGAAACTTAACATAAAAACAAATAATTTTTCAATCTAAAAAAATCTAATCTGTGGTGGGTCACATCTGTAAACCTAGAACTGGGAAAACTGGGTAGGAGAATGGCCACAAGCTCCAGGCTAGCCTGGTCTATATAGTAAGTCCCAGACCAGCCAGGGTCTTGTCTTTAAACACAAAGACTTTTAAAAAGAATGTATTTAGTCACGCGTTGGCAGACTATGACACAAAAGACAAAGGTGGCCCACTGCTTTGTACATATAGTTCAGTTAGTTTGTTGGTTTGTGTTGTGGCAGTGTCTCTTGTACCCCACACAATGGCTTTGAACCTGTACATAGTTAAGGATGACCTTGAACTTCTGACCCTCTAGGCACCTTCTCCCAAATGGATTAGGTTTTATTCAGTGCTAAAGACTGAACTCAGGGCTTAGTCACCCCAGGCTAGGCAGGTACTGTGCCACCTAACTACACCCTGACCCCAAGCTTTTACTGAAATACATTTGTTTACATAACAACAGTGGGGTAAGGGAAAATACAACTGGCAACTAAACTATTAAATAAGACCCCAAATGTGAGCATGGTTGACGCATGCCTATAATCCCAGTACTCAGGAGACAGGGAAAAGGAGCAAATGCTCTTTCCATGCATCCAGTAGGAAGCAGCTACGAGGCCTCATGCCTGTCAGCCCAGCACTGGGGAAGGGAAGCAAGAGGATTGCTGGAGGCTCAGGGTGTTTGAGGCTAGCCTAGGCTACAAGGTAAAAGTCTGTCTCAGAGACTAAGGCTGGTGATACAGCTTAGAATGCCAATAAAATGAAAGCTATCTAATCTCTGAAACATTTACTTTGCTGCTCACGTCAGAAACTCACACCCTGAGGAGCACATACCTTCCCTAACAATGTAATATTCTTCAAGCATTAGTTATTTGTGTGATTGCTTCTTAGTAGTCAAACTTACCGAGTACCATCTGCTTTCCAGCTTACTTTATAAGGCTTCTGCTCTAAAAGTCTAATATTTTGCTTGTCCATGGAAACAGGCTGTGCTCCAGGGAACCCAGACCTTAAAGAAAGAACATTATTCTGTCATGGCTACAGCCCATATAATGTAATCTTTGTGTTAAACCAACCTGAAATGGATCATAGGTTGACCACAATGTTATCATGAGATTAATTTCAAATGGAATAGCATCAGCTATCACAATAGTTCTAAAAAAAGATTGCCATTCTAGGCCAGGGATAGCGGTGCATGCCTTTAATACAGCACTCGGGAAGGCAGAAGCAGATGGATCTCTGAGCTCGAGGCCAGCCTGGTCTACAGAGTGAGTTTCAGGAAAGCCAGAGCTACATATAGAGGTGAAGAAAAGATTTTCACTATCTTGACATTTTTCTCCTGCAGATGTTTCTGAAGTTAATTAGATAGTAAATAGGTAGAAACAAGCAACATATGCCTATTCAGACAGATAGATGGTCTTCAAAAACCTCAGAGATCCACAGAATATGACATTTAAATAATAGCATTTAATAAAAGGCTTTTCTGACAATAAGTCTGTTCCTGGCAGCACCTCCATTCTACTTCAAAGAAAATGATGGGCATCGAAGAACCTCCATATGGACATGGAGTTTGCTTCTAATGTGGCAAGCTAGCCACTGGATGAGACTTTGACTTTGTCTCAACTGCCTACAGCATGCTGGACAAACTAAACACAGAGAATTCGACTGATGAACTTTGCCAAGACAAGGTAGGCAGTCCTTCATAATTCCTGCATCACAGAAAAATCTGTCATATAGTGAGCCAGAAGGCCAAAGATGATGCCCCAACGTTGCGGAGGAGCCTTAGGTAACTGTCCAGGCAGCTAGGTTCTCTGTCATTTTTATAGCTTTGGAAACTGCTTGCTTTGCACTTGCTGCCCACTCAGGTAATATTTATCCTTCTCAGGTTTCTGCTGGGTTGAAGACTAAATAGTTATGGTCTCACAACTAAGCTTAAGTTTTTTAGGATTTTTTTTTTTAATGTTTAAGGTCTAAAAAGATATTTTAGGTTGATAAATGCAAGTTATGATAGAAAATGATTTAGGTACAGAACTCTGAACTCACCAAGATAGGATAGGTAACAAAGTATGTTGTCCAAGACTTGCCAAATACAAATGGACTGGACATCGTGAATGCAATTCTTATTTGTTAGTTTTCATATTTTTTTATTGTATATAGTTTATTATTGTAAGAGGAAGAAGCCTTTACTATACAAAAAAGGGATGATTTGTACACTGTGTATTCAAATGTCGATTTCTGTACCCAAAGATCTGATTGTAGTTGGACCAGAGTCCAGTTGCATTACTATTGAAGCATCTCCTACATTATATTGTATAAAAATTGTTCTCCATCATCTCTGATTAGCTAGTAAAAAGCTGAATGGCCTATAGCTGGGCAGGGAAGTTGTAGCAGAACTTGCAATCCCAGGAGGAGGGTCCCAAGTAGAGGAGGAAAAGAAGGTCGAGGAGACGGTCACCATGAAAGGTCGCCATGAGGACACAGATGGAGCAGGAACAGCCAGGGCAAGACTAGTTGGCAGGTAAATGGGGCTTGTGGCTGGGAGGTAGACCAGGCCAACCTAGTCAAGTTAGAATAGATCAATTATCTGCCCAGCTATAATGTTTAAATCTTATTAATGAATGTAATAGGTCTCTGTGTCATTATTTGGGAGCTAGAGTAGGCATTAAAAGGCCATATTTTTCATTTTACACATAACGAATACATTTTATTTAAAGCTGAAAATATTCCTTACCCTTCCCAGCCACAGAACTGATGACATTTCTGCTGTACCTCTCCTAACTTTGGTTGAGTTGTTACTTGAGTTACACCTTTAACAGTTATGCCTTCCAAGAAAATAGCACCCTTTAAAGAAAAAAAGAAACAATAATAGCAGTAAGTATGTGTATAAATATATACACACATAGAGAACAAATGTACTTACAAAGAAGAAATAAATTAGTTCATTTCCACAAACCTAAGAAAATTCATATTAAACAGAAATGTTTGGCTATGGGTCTCTGCTTATGCTATCAGTTGCTGGGTGAAGAGTTTATGTTGACAATTATGCTAGGCTCCAGTCTATGAGTATAGCAGAGTATCACTGGGAATCATTTCATTTGTCTTCTTTTTAGTATTTGGCTCCTCAGTCTCTGGGCTCTCCCGCCTCTGGGTTCCTGCCGTCCAGGCAGTGTCAGGGTGGGCTCCCGCTCATGATGTCAGTCATTGGTTGGTCACTGCCACACGTTCTGCCAATCTTTACCCCAGGACATCTTGCTGGCAGGGCAAATCCTAAGTGAAGGTTTTGTAGCTGCAGTGGTGTGCCAATCACTCCAGTGAAGCCTTGCCTGCCTACAGAGCATGGCCAGTGCAGGCTCCATATTACCAGGAGTCCTCACTAGGGTCCCCCTCGTAGACTCCAGGGAGTTCTCACGGCACTAGGTTTCTACCGCGCCCCCTAAGTGCCCCTCAATTCCACTCCTGTCCTAGCACTCTCTCCATCTCCCACCTCATCCTTCTTGCCTTCACCCCCATCAGCCCAGTCCACCCACAAAATAGGTTCTACTTACCCTTCCCAAGGAGATTCATGTCTCCCTCCTTGAGCCCTCCTTGTTAATTAACCTCTCTGAGGCTGTAGACTATAGCTTGATTATCCTATACAGCTAATGTCCACTTATAACTGAATACATTGCATAGCTGTCTTTCTGGGACTGGGTTACCTCACTCACAATGATTTTTCTAGTTCCCTCCATTTGCCTAGAATTTTAAGTCGTCGTTTTTAATAGCTATTACTCCATTGTGTAAATGTACCACATTTTCTTTCCAGGCTTTGACTGAGGGTCATCTAGGTGGTTTCCAGTTTCTGACTATTATGAATAAAGTGGTTAAGGACACAATTGAGCAAATGTCCTTGTGATAAGATGGAGGGTCATTTAGATATATATTCACCCAAGAGTAGAATGGCTGGGTCTTGAGGTAGATCCATTCCCAATTTTCTGAGAAACTGCCACAATGATTTCCAAAGTGGCTGTACAAGTTTGCGCTCCCACCCACAACAGAGAAATGCAGTGGGGGGGGGGTGGGGGGTATTTCCCATGATTCACAACTTCATTAGCCTGAGCTGTCACTTATGTTTTTATCTTAGCCATTCTGACAGGTGTAAGATGGAATCTCAATGTAGTTTTGTTTGCTTATTTGTTTGTTTTTTCCAAGACAGAGCTTCTCTGTCTTGTCTTGTCAAACTCTGTCTTGAGTTTCTCTGTAGCCTTGGCTGTCCTGGACTCACTTTGTAGACCAGGCTGGCCTCTAACTCACAGAGATCTGCCTGCCTCTGCCGGGATTACAGGCATGCTGGTTAAAAGTAGTTCTGATTTACATATCCCTGATGGTAAGGATGTTAAACACCTCAGTATTTCTCGGCCATTTGAGATTTGTCTGTTGTGATTCCTCTGTTGAGAATCCTCTGTTTAGATATGTACCCCATTTTCAATTGGATTATTTGGTTTGTTGATACCCAGTTTCTTGAGATCTTTATATATTTTGGATATTAGCCCTCTGTCTTTTGTGAGTTGGTGAAAAAATTTTTCCCATTTTCTGGGCTGTCACTTTGTCCTATTGACAGTGTCCTTTGTCTTACAAAAGCTTTTCAGTTTCAGGAGGTCGCATTTATTAATTGTGGATCTTGGTGCCTGCACTTCTGATGATCTATTCAGAAAGTTGTCTCCTGTGACAATGCATTCAAAGTTATTCCCTACTTCCTCTTCTATCAGGTTCATTGTATCTGGTTTTATGTTGAGGTCTTTGATCCACTTGGACTTGAATTTGGAACAGGGTGATAGATATGGATCTACTTATATTCTGCTACACACCAACATCCGATTAAATCAGCAGTATTTGTTAAAGATGCTTTCTTTTATCCACTATATATTTCTGGCTTCTTTATCAGGTTTCCATTTTAAATTTCTGTAATTACAGCCCGTATCTGCTTTAAGGAGAGAGACAGACAGCACACCCAAGGGCACTACAAACGCTAACCAAGCACTCTGCCAGGCCGTCCATACAATTCTTAAGGCTCTTTCCACTGGCAAAGGCATAAAAATAAACTTTTAAATTGTATTCTGTTGTGCAAATCAGTAACTTTTAAAATTGAAATATCAAATATTATTTTCAAATTTTTATTAAGCATGTATGTTCAAAATTAATGTTGCTTTTGAAAAGTATATCTGAAAAGCCAGACATAGTGGGTATGACCATAGTCAAAGCACTCAGAGGGCACACGAGGATCTCCATTTCCAGACCAGTATGGACTTCATAGCATGAACAAAATACAACAGCAACAAAAAGAAGATGTTTTAATTCCCTCACAAAAATTTACCATAAAAGGGAAAGCAGGGCCTGTGGGATGGCTCAGGGTGTAAAGCTCTTTCAACCAAGCCTAAACATGCACTTGATCCCCAGGACGGGGTGAAAAGTTAGATCTCACTCCAAGTTGTCCTCTGTCCTCCACAGGTGTCCCATGGATGTGCATATGTATGTCCACATGCACACTACAAATAAATGCTTTTAAGAAACAGTAACTATATACATACATATATACAAACATACAAACATACATACATACATTTTGGTAAAGACAAAGTATGCATGTGTATACACACTCATATGTACAAGTGTGCCTACAGGTGACAATGTATTTTAGTATATGCATGTGTAGCCCCCCCACACACACACACAACTAAGTAAATATACATATATTTGTAGGCAGAGGAATGTGTTTATATGTGTGCATGCATGCGGAAGCCAGATGTTTACTTCAATCACTCCAGCTTTGTTTTTTCACTTTATTTGGGGGAGGGGTATATGGATAACAGCATGTGTATACAGGAGTTATGTACATGTATAGCTATATATAAAATACATGTATATTTGCCTACATGTGAGGACAAAAGAATTATGGTTCCCTTCTTTGATTGTTACCTACCTTATGTTTTGAGACATGATTTCTCACTGAATCTGAACTCATCATTTAGGTTAGGCTGGCCAGCCAATGTGCTCCGTGTGTCTCTGCCCCCTCAGCTCTGGGGTTATAAATGTGCAGTGACACACCCAGCTCTTATGTGGGTGCCAAGAGCCAAAACTTTTACCAGCTGAGCTATCTCTCCAGCTTTTCAATTCATCTTTGAGATAGTCTGTCACAAAACCTAGAGTTTGCCAGTTCAAACAGAATGGCTGGCCAGCAAACCCCAGAAATCTTTACTCCTCCCAGAACCCCTGAAAGCACTGATTTCATTCATGCACTACAATGAATGGCTTTTTTTTTTTTGTAAGTGTTGTCTGTATGCGTGTATGTTCACAATGCATCAGAGTCCTTGGAACTGGAGTTCCGTGACAGCTGTGAACAGCCACATGGGTGCTAGGAACTGAACCTGGGTCTTCTGTAATAGTAGTAAGTGCCCTAAACTGCTGAGCCATCTCTCCAACCCCACTTTGACGTTTTCTGTGAGATTGTTTGTATGTCCGGCTTTTTCCCATGGTGGGAGCAGAACTCCAGGCCTCATGCCCTGTCTAAGTACTTGCTAAGTCATCTCATTTGCTTGAAAACGAGTTGCTTTTGAAAATATTTCTCTTTTAAAGCAATTAACACTTGTCAGTGGTCTTACAGTCTTCAAGCTGGAAATGTATAAACACAAATGAAGTTTTCCAACTAAGACTTGAGAGAAAAAAAACTAAAGTAACAGCTACATTATTTATATAAAATAATCAAGGCATTTTTCCTCATTATTGATAAACTACTGCCAACTAATACCTTAGCTGTAGTGTCACTGGCCAGCCACAATATCCTTAATTACTACTTCAATAACACTTCATTTCCTGCACATTCCTGTAACTTCCCTTTGGTCTACACCAAGAAGATCTGTGTGCAAGTAAAAAAGTGCTAGTCCTCTCAACAGATCTCTTGTCCCCACTTCTTATTAAACATAGGGTCTCAAGTATCTCATCCTCACCTGCAGCCATGTAGCAGAGGGAGGCTTTGACTCCTGAGTCCTGGAATCAGCATGCTTCACTATGCACCACAGTGCTAGGGAAAGATGCCAATTTTCATGAATGTTTGTCAAGTATTCTACCAAATAAGTTGTAGCCTCAACCTAACTCCTAATATTTTATTAGACTTTTATTCCTAAAAGATTAAGAAAACTTATCTAGAGAAGTAGAAGTCTTCTAAGTTGTAGACAGTACAAAGGAAACACCACCTACGGCAGGAGATAGATAAATTAACTGAGTGACTTTTAAAAAACATTCTCACTGGTTATTAAGTATTATACTAAGTTCATTATTACCACAAAACGTATCTAGTAGTAATCTCCACCTCACACCTAGCAGTGCTCTGGTTTATATAAGAAACAAAACCTGGAAGAAATTTCATAACTCCAGCTTTCTTCTTTAAAAAGATAAAATAAATAAAAAGACTGCTGGGCTGCAAGATGGCCCAGAAGTCAAGGCCTGACAAGGTGAGTTTGCTCCCAGAGCCCACATGATGGTTGGGAAGATGAGTCACATGAGTTGTCTTCGACTCCCACCATATGCAAAGTCCTTCCACCCAAAGAAGAAATCATTTTGTACGACAAAATTTTAAAGACTGATTCCTGGTTAATGTTTAAAAGCAAGATATAGCCAGGCATGCCTATAATCTGTCTCAGCACTCAGAAGGCTTTGAAAGGAGGACTAGGAGTTTGACACCAGCCTGGGCTTCATAGTGAGACCCTACCACACCTGGCTCATGATGTCAGGAGTTATTTAATGGGTTTCAGGTAGAACCAAAATTGAGTTCATAAAACGAGAGGCCATTATTACGCTCTTGAACAAAGACAGACAGACAGAGCAATAACAGAAATACAGCAAATACCCCACATTAAGTTTACACAGAAATATAGAGAACTGTGATATTTGAGGGCCACCAGATTGGCTCAACAGATAGGACACTCGCAGGTAGCCTGACAACCTGAGTTTGAACCCAGGACCCACACATACATGGTATTTAGAGAAAGCTGACTCTCACAAGTTGTCCTCTGACCTCAAGAATGCTGTGCCACTCCCACAACAAGGCATACCAGCATGCACATTCACAAAATGAATGAATGAACATAATGTAAAAGAATACTACAGTATTATCAACATTACCAGTTTTAATCGTTCTTTTCTCCTTTTACCAAAGGAAGCACTTGACCCTGGTTCTGAGTCCTTTTTTCCATCTTCATCATCATCTTCTTCATCATCATCCTCAAAACACCAATCTGGCAATACAGGTGGTGGTGGGGCTTCTTCTATATCACCATAGCGACGAAAAAGTTCCTTCAAATAATCACCCTTATAGATTCCTGGTGGTCTGGCTTGGGCAAACGTAGCAACTGCTGCTTCAATGCTATCGAAAAGAATCAATGCAATTTTCTCACAATTGTCTGTTTATGGAAACTTATCAATAATTAACTCATACTAAAAGTACCACAAAAAGTTTAACAGGCCTATAACACCAAGTCTTTCTTCACCTGCAAAGCTTTCAATTCATGATATGCTGATTCTAAAAACACATACACATGTAACATGTGGTAGACATATACAATCCACTGCAACACAGGGGACACTTTAATACATGGTCCACTGTAACACATGGCCCATTTTAATACATGGTGCACCATGTCTAAAGCACATTGCTATGAGCACCTACGACAGACATGTGCAGCCAGGGAAAAGGAATTTTAATAAAACACTGAAAGGTCAATATCTACAAGAAAACAGTGGCCAAGAAATGTGAACAGCATAGAGAACAAGCACAATGGTTTCTGAAACCCAGGCTCCAAGAGCTCACATCTTGAAAGACAGGTAGCCACTGGCAGAGTCTAGCACAGGAGCCTGATGTTACTGTGCAGCCCTGAGAGCCCAAAGCCAGAAAGTAAACAAAGCAGACAATGACTGCTGTAAAGGAACTAGAAAACACAGTCATATCTGTGCACTGTCAAAGGACCTACTGTGTAAAGGTTTTACAACATAAACAAGGACCCTAGAGAAGGAACAGGAACATTCAGTCAGCAATACCCTATTCTCATAGAAATTCCAGGCAACTGGGGTTCTAATCCTTTAAAATCTAAAAATGCATTTCACAAAAACATGCTCAATAAAGGTAAGACTTGTTTAAATGGAGTGATGCCATCCTAAATGCTTCCTTCATAGATTATTAAAGATTTTCCTAGTACTTAACTGCTAGAAAAGACAAATTTCAAAGGAAAACAAGAGACATTTCCAAACCTGAATACAAACACAAACACTGGAAGACCAAACCTCTGATAATATTAAAATACGAGAAAAATATGGAAAAGCAAATACACCATTTATAAAATTTGTAAGCGTCACGAATTGCTACATGCATCTTCTTCCATGATAAGACATATACCTCCAATCCATCTTCTCCACCAAAAAGGCACATATAAGGAAACCGGTCCGGTTGAAGCCATGGGTACAGTGAACACCTAGAAGAGAATGTAGCTCTGTTTTAAACAGAAGCACTTCATATACCACACTGTTTTAAAATGACAACTTGTTTTCAAAATATTTAAGTACACTACATATTCATACATTTTAAAAACTCAAAATACTCCTTACAACTTAAGTCTGCCAATTTAAGTTGCTTAGAATCTAGCTTTGAGCACCAGACAAAAATTCAAAAATAATACACTAGTTTATTAGTTTAAAACTCTATTATCTAAAATTTGTCATTAAAATTTTTCAGGAATTTGAGTTTTAAACACACAACTCAGAAAGGAAAGACACAGAGGACAGGAGGAAAATGGAGGGGCTCATTTTAACAGTTTTGAGTTTTCATCCCACTTTTCATTCCAGCACTTGAGAGCCTGAGGCAGAAGAATTAGTCAAAGCATGACACCAGTCTGAGATACATAGTAAGACCCTGTCTCAAAGCACAAGACAAAATTCAAATTTTAAAATAATTGTAAAATAGTACTTAAGCGTTCAATGGCCATTACTAACTCAGGATTACTGCCATGTCAACTGATTCTCCGGCAGACTCAAAATGAACTCTCACAGAAGCCAGCTGTGCTACTCTACACCAGGAATCCCACTATTTAATAGGCTGACGTGGAGTTTGGTAAGTTTGAGGCCAGCCTACAGCACAAAGCCACATCTTATTTTAAAATTTGAAAAATATACAGTGTCAAGATGGCTCAGCGGGTTAAGATGCTTGCCACAAAGGCTGACAACTCGAGTTTGGTACCCAGAATCCACATGACAGAAGGAGAGAACCAACTCATGTAAATTGTCCTCTGCCCGCCACAAACCTGCTATAGCACATGTGCACACATACACAACACACACAAACACACACATATACAAACACACACAGTGTGAAAAAATTGTTTAAATAACAACTAAGATAAAATATTTAGGCCCTAGGTTCAACCTCCAGCATCATAGTGCATTCTCCTAATCCCAGCCCTAGGAGGCAGAAGCAAAAAGATCCTGAGTTCCAAGCCAGCATGGGCTACAAAGAGCCTATCTCAAAAACCTGAATAAAGTAAACATCATTTTCATCTCATTTCTACATGTAAGATTTCTTTACAGAAGTGTTTTTGTTACCTAAAATGATTAGCTGAGCCAAATCAATTATTTCTACCTCTGATTCATAAAATAATCATTAATACTAACAATGAAATATTTTACAAGAACAATTCTCAATAGGATACAAAGAAAGTACAGATAATAAGAATATGTTGAAATGTAAATACAGTAATCAAAAAGCACATAGGGCAAACTATAAGTCAGTCAGTGGCATCGAGTATCCGAAGAAAGTAAATGGCAAACGCAGTTCAAGAGAAGGCTGTGGAGGCCAGTGTGATGGCTCAGCAGGTAAAGGGCTGGTTGGGCCCATTGCTAGCCTATTTGTACTTATTTTCAGTACGTTAGACAGGGTTTATTTATGTAGACTTAGCTGACTTAGAATTTGCTATGTAGACCAGGTTAGCCTTAAACTCATAGGGCTACCCAGGCTTCTGCCTCCTGAATGCTGGGATAGGATTAAAGTAGTACACCATACCCAGGCCAACAATGCCTTTCTCAAGATAGTTTCTCAAAACACAACCTAACAATATTCACAGATGAAATTTTGTTGCTGTATCTTGTCTCTCTAGCTTTCTGTTTTCAAGCCATCAAAAGTTTCTGAGAGAAACAAGTCATTTTCTTGTAAATTATTCTACACCCTAAATTTCTCTGCTTGTTTTCCAATAGTATTAATCACAGCTTATACAAAGTACTTGAGATCATAGGTGGTTTATCTCTTGGATTTTTTTTTCCATTTTGGAAAATTTATCTTGGGGATGGAATGCATGTCTAAATACGAAACTAATTTATGTTTCATACAAACCTAGCATAGCGGTAATCCTATAGAACTACTCCTACAAAGCTTTAAACAGTTTCATGATGTGCAATTTTCTATTTGTGGTATCATAACTATATTCAAAAAGTTTGTGGTTTAAAGCATTTTGTAGAGGCTAGAGAGATGGCTCAGAGGTTAAGAGCACTGGCTGCTCTTCCAAAGGTCCTCAGTTCAATTCTGAGCAATCACACAGTGGCTCACAAACATCTATAGTGAGATCTGGTGCCCTCTTCTGACGTACAGGTACACATGCAGGCAGGACAGTGTACATATAATAAATAAATAATTTTTTAAAGCATTTTGGATTTTCAGATTATGGATGTTTAACCTATAAACCATTTCTTTATCTATTGTATATCTCATGAAGTTAGTCTATAGAAACATAATTAAATTCATTTCCTAGTGCATTCTAGCATTTTAGACAGGAATACTGTATAGATGGCTCTATATGCTTCATAGTACACAGGAAATATCTAGTTGCTACAGTTTTCTTTTCTTTTTCTATATGTGAGTATGTATGTGGAGACCAGAGGTCATTTCACGCCCTGCCCCTAAACATCAAAAGATAGTTTAAGTGAAGAAATCTGAAAGTAGACTGGCTTAAATGCTATTAAGGAATTTGTAATATTCTGTTTGGTATACTAATTGCATGGTGATTATATAAAAACCAAAATCCCTTAACAATTAGAGATACTGAAACAGTCTTAGTGACATGACATGACCTCTACAACTTCCTTTAATGAATCAGTCATTGAATTCCCTGCCACACAAGAATGGGCTCGGATCCTCAGTACCAATATAAAAGCTGGGTACAGCACACATCTCTACCCCAACACCAGTGGACAGAAACAGGAGATTCCTGCTCAGGAGCCAGCCACTCCAGCCAAACTGATGTGTTCCAGGTTAGTGGGAGGCCTCCTGTGTTAACTTCCATAAACACACACACTCAAATAAACATGTACATACAATACACACCAACTAATTAACTAAAATTAATAGCAAAATTAAATACCAAAATAAGTGGAAAGATGAAAATATCCGCAAAATGGTTATTACTGAGTGTACTTACATATGATATTTTATTTTACTTACGTATGTTTGTGCATTTCTATGACAAAGAAAGCAGAACTGTCTTAAGGAAGCCAAACATACCTATAAGTTCAGGTGGGCTTCTTTCATTAAACCTCTCACACAGGCGAATGAATGTCTCAGTATTCTCAGTAGTGGGACATTCACCATGTCTGAGAATACAAACAAAAAGTTGCTTTGAAAAGAGATTACAAAACCTCAACAAAAGTGTTCACTCTCAAGAACTTACAACTTACCCTTTACATTGAAGTTTGACATAATTGATTCCTTCTTTTTCTATGTCATTTCTGTCATAGAACCTTGAAGTATTTGTCAAATCCACCAACAAGCTCATTTTAACCTTAAAATAAAAATAGAAAAGCAAATTTGCTAGTTACTACTGTTATTCCAACAAGATAAGTAGATGGCAAGACTAGAGCTCATCCACCCCGCCAAGAGTTTGCATGCTCACTGCTACCAAGCAGCTGACAGAGAAAAGCACCTTCAAACCAAAACCCAGCATTCTAGACATAAGAACTAAGCAAGCACTGGAAAAATAACCTTAAGCTACGGAGAAGAAAGTGTAAGCAAAACAGATGCCACTCTCAACCTCTCAAACCTAAATTAAAAAGGAAAACACTGCAACTTTCTTCCTCCTCTACCTCTGGTCCTCAGAAGCCTGACGCAGAGAGGCAGACAACATTATTCTGAAGGAGCACAGTTCTAGTGCCAGCACCTATTACCCCAGGTACAAAGTAGCTCCCACAACAGCTATTCGCTACACTATATCTCACCTTAAAATGTGTATTTCTTTTCTACTTAATTTATTCTTCTGTTTCACGAAAATACACTAATGTCTAGAACTGTAGCCCTTTTCAAGAAACCGAGTAAACACTGAAAACAGAAGCCAGCTGTGGCAGCACACAACTTGAATCCCAGCACTCAAGGAGCCAGAGGCAGACAGAACTATGAGTCCAAGGCCAGCCTAGCTTACACAGTTCTAGGACAGTTCTAGGGCTACACAGAACGGGGGAATGAAAACAGACTCTTATACAATTCTTATATGCAATTCCCAAGCTGAGGAGATGGCTCAGTGGGCAAAGTGCTTGCTATGCAAGCATGAGGGCCTGAGTTCGGATCCCTAGCACCCACGTCAACAGGCAGGTGTGGTGACACACACCTGTGATCCCCGAGCTGGGAGGTGGAGACAGGACGACCGTCAGGGCTTTGTTGTCCAGCTAGTCTAGCCAAATCAGCGAGCTCCAGGTTCAGTGAAGGACCTTGTGTCAAAAAATTAGGTTGGAGAACGACAGAGGAAGACATCAGACATCAACCTCTGGCCTCTGCACGTATATTTCTCTTCCTGGATATCAGAAAGAAACAAGATAAGGGTTTAAAAATAAATTAAAATCCTAACTTTATTTTCAATAAAACTGAGAGGCATATATAATCTAAATGGTTATTTTTAAAATATAGTTCCAAAGCTAGGACATGGGACGTGGACACAGGAGAAACAAGATCTCAAGGTCATCCTCAGCTACATAGCAACTTTGCACACAGCCTGAGCCACATGAGACACTGTCCAAAAAGCCACAAAATAGAAAATAATAGAGAAGAGAAAAAAAAAAAAGCATGCCTGAACTGAGCTCCAGAAAAAGTTCACATATCCTCCACAATATTCTTTTATACATAATCTAGAAGAGTGACGAAAAAAAAAAAAAAAAGGAAACTGAAACTGAATTGGATAACTGACAACTGAAGACAACTGAAGGGGATCTAGGGAATACACATGGAAAGGAGAAGTCAAAGTGTCCTGATTTGCATAAGATATAATTTAATATATGAAAGATCCTGAAGACTCCACCAGGAAACTTTCACTGCTTATAAACACTGTCAACAAAGTAGCAGTATACAAAATTAACTCAGAGAAGAGAAGAGAAGAGAAGAGAAGAGAAGAGAAGAGAAGAGAAGAGAAGAGAAGAGAAGAGAAGAGAAGAGAAGAGAAGAGAAGATTGGTAATCTTCCTCTAAACAAATGACAGATATACTGAGAAAGAAATCAGGAAAACGGTACATTTCACTGTAGCCTCAAAAAAATAAAAATATATTTCGGGTATGGTGGCACACGCCTTTAATCCCAGCACTTGGGAGGCACAGGCAGGTGGATCTCTGAAAGTTTGAGGCTAGCCTGGTCTACAAAGTGAGTCCAAGACAGCCAAGGCTATTACACAGAGAAATCTTGTCTCAAAAAAACCAAGAAGAAGAAAAAAATTGTGTATGTATATAAATATATAGATACAAATATAGATATATAAAATCAGGATAACTCTAACCCAGCTGGGAAAGACTTGTACAATTAAAATTTTATGACAATGAACAAAGAAAATAAGGAAGACATTAGAAGATGGAAAGATTTCATATGTTCATGAATCAGTAGAATTAGTATTATGAAAGTGCCCATCCTACCAAAAGCAATCTACAGATTCACTGTAATCCCCACCAAATTTCCAACACAATTTTTTATAGAAAAAAATTGAAAAAACACTCTTCAATTTCATTTGAAAACACACACATACAAACATATACAAACGAGAATGAAAGAGAGAGAGAGAGAGAGAATAACTAAAACAATCCTGGAGTTATTACTATCCTCTATCTTAAATTGTACTACAGAGCTACTGTAATTACAGCATGGTATTGGCATAAAAACACACTGATCAATGGAATTAAAGACTCAGACATATTTCCACACACCAACGGACACCTGATTTTCTCTTTGACAAAGAAGCCAAAAATAACACAATGGAGAAAAAACAGCATCTTCAACAAATGATGCTGGTAAAACTGCATGATCACATGTAGAAGAATTCAAATAGATCCATAGCTATTACCCTGCACAAAACTTAACTCAAAATGGATTAAGGACCTCAACATAGACCTTATACCCTAAATCTAATAGAAGAGAAAGTAGGAAATATGCTTGAACTTATTGGCACAGAAAAGGATTTTCTTAATAGGACACCAACAGCATATGCACTAAGAATAACACTCATGAAGCTGAAAAGCTCTGTGATAAAGAACATCATCATTCAGAACAATTATACATCTGATAGTGGATTAGTATCTAGAATACATAAAGAACTTAAAAAACTGAACATCAAGAAAATAAACCAATTTTTAAAAGCTCTCAGAAGATGAAACAAAAATGGCTGAGAAAGTTAAAGAAATGTTCAACATCCTTAGCCATCAGGAAAATGCAAATTAAAATGACTTTGGGATTTCATATTACACCAGTGAGAATGGCCAAAATCAATATAACAAATAACAGCACATGCTGGCAAGGATGCTAGGAAAAGAGAATACTTAGTCATTGCCGGGATAGTGCAAACTGGTATAGTCACTAGAAATATCAGTGTGGCAATTCCACAGTGATCTGAGACTCACTCTACCTTAAGACCCACACTATTCTTGAGCAAATAACCAAAGAATTCTACATCCTATTACAGAGACACTTTACTCATCCATGTTCAATGCTGTTTGACTTATAATAGCCAGAAATTGGAAACAGACTAGACGACCACCAGTTGATGAATAAATAACGAAAATGTAGTACAACTACACAATGGAATATTATTCAGCTATTCAAAAAATTAAATTGGCAGGTAAATGGAGGGAGCTAGAATAATTCATTCTGAGTGGGGTAATCCAGAACCAAAAAGACAAATATTTGTATGTTACTCTCTTATATGTGGATATTAATTTTAAGCTTTCACTATGTGTGCTACAATCTGAAAAACCACAGAGGTAACTAGTAGGAGAGGAAAGGCTCTCCCAAGAAAGGGACAATGAAATACAGTGTTATGGAGAAATAAAAGAGGAACTAGATGAGGAGAATTAAATAGGGAGGAGGAAGAGAAAAGGAAAAAAGGACGGAACATGGGGAGGGGCAGCTAACACTAAAGGCCATTTCAAACTTCATAGAGAAACCTACAACTGTAGAAGCTTCCTAAAAATATGCACATAGAAAGGAACCTAGCAATGAAGAATCTTATCTCAAAAACACAAAGGTGAGCAAGCCCTGAGAGTGGCTTCTGGCCTCTGCACTCACATGCACACACATACCCTCACTTAGAGAAAGTCCTTGAAGAACAAAGCCAAGAGGCGAGAACTACATTAATAGCAAAGCTTTGCTTCTTACCTTCAGACTCTTTAGATAATTTGAGAGCATACTGGGATGAAACCGATTTTCTTCAGCAACTTGACTATCATATCTTGGCCCCAGCATCGTCTTCAGAGGTAAGAATCTTCCTAAGTATTAAGATGAATAATAATTTTCATTATTTTTTAAAGAACTAAACTCTGTAATTTGCCATTCCAAAGCTGCCTTCTTAAAATAACAGTTTATGTTGTTTCTTTTTTATTAAGGCATAGTCTCACATGTCCCAAACTGGCCTCAGATTCACTGTGTAGCTGAGAGTGACCTTAAACTTCTGATTCTCAGCTGGGCAGTGGTGGTGCATGGCCTTCCAGCACTCAGGAGGCAGACGCAGGTGGGTCTCCAAGTTCAAGGGCAGGTTGTATACAGAGCTAGTTCCAAGATGGCCAGGGCTATACACAGAAACCCTGTCTGAGGAACAAGAAAACAACTCTGAGATTGCCCCACCACTCCTCACTGTATGCAGTGCTGTATGGACCCAGGGCTTCCTGGTAAGCAATATTATACTAATGGAGCTACATCCACCCCCACCTTGTTAACAGCTTAAAAGAAAAAAAAATTATGAATGTAACTTCCTATAATGTACTTTCACTCTTTGAATCAGAGATTAATTACTTTGAATTAATTCTAGAATGTGATGACATAAACAAAGAAAAATTACCAATGAATGAAATGTCCATTTAAAAGAAATCTAAACTTGGGGCTAGAGAGATGGTTCAGCTGTTAAGAGCATTTATTGTTCTCGCTGGTTCAATTCCCAGCACCCATATGGTGGATACCCAGTTCCAGGGGATGCAATCCCTCCTCTGGCCTCCACAGATCCTGCACACGCATGGTGCACACACATACACTTAAATAAGGCATTTAAAGAATCTTTTATTTTTAGGAATCTAAACTTCAAAGCACTAATCATCTGTCCCTGTAAGCACTAACCCCAGTAAAACTCCAACTTGGTGAAGCTGGGTTTAGTAGCATCCTTACTTCTTGTCTGCTGCGCTGACCTGTCTGGGTGAGTAAACACGTGCTCACAGTTCCCCAGAAACAGTGTCTCACGGCACCTCAATTACAAGCATATGCCAACACACCCAGTTTGAATCAAGTCTCTAAATACATGGCTTTGCTATGTGGGGATTTCCTTTTTTGTTATTGTCTTACTTGTTTATCATTATTTGAAGCAGTCTACTCAACTTAGACTACACTTGCTAGGTAGTTGGGGATAACCTTAAACTCCTGATTCTCCTACCCCAATTTTCAGAATGCTGGAATATTAGGTATTCCCAAGAAAAACCTGGTTTTATGCAATATTAGGATCAAAAAAAGGATGTTATTGTATTAAAATGATATTAATCAAAATCACATGATAAACACTGTTTATTTGGTGCCTTTTTTTTTTTTTAGTTGGTTGGTTTGGTTTGGTATGGTTTGGTTCGGTTTGGTTTGGTTTTGGGTTTTTCAAGACAGGGTTTTTCTGTGTAGCCGTGGTTGTCCTGGACTCAATTTGTACACCAGGCTGGCCTCAAACTCAGAGATCTGCCTGCCTCCACCTCCCTGGGTGCTGGGATCACAGGTGTGTCGCTGCTGTGGTGCCTGGCCATTTGGTGCCTTTTTTTAAAAACAGTATAAGCTGAGGGAAATCACCTTAAATAAGCAATTTTTAAATACCTATTTTTCATGGCTTAGATTTTTACTTGACTTTTTAAGACAGAGTCTCACAATTTAGCCCAGACTACAACTACACAGATAATATGGCTTTAAACTAGCAATGATTCTCCTGCCTCAGTCACTGGGTTCTGAAACTGGCGCTGTAGACCAGACTGGCCTTAAACTCAGAGATGAGTACTCAGTGCTGGGATTACATTACTGTTAATGTGTAGGTCTTAAACCTCTGCAAGCTTCCAGTGTTGAAGGCTTATTGTGTAATGTGTTAAGTGTTCACACACAACCCCTGGGAGGCGACTAGATCATAAGGGCTCTGACTTGATGAATAGATTCATTCATCCATAGATTCTTAACACTAGCAGAAGCTGTCTATGTGGAGCAAGTCCCTAGGGAAGCATACCCTGAACGGCTATAACTTGATTTTGGACCTTTCCTCTTTACTTTCTGGTCACTAAGAGGATAGCCTCGTTCATGGATGTTCTGACTTACAAAAGCCCCCAAGGCCCAAAGGGACAAGGTCATGCAACCATAGGCTGAAACCTGTCAAATTATGATAAAAAAAAAAAAAAAAAAAAAAAACCCAGATTTTTTCCTCACCTGGCGTGATAGTGCAGGCCTGTGATACAGCACTGAGGACACAGAGGAAGGAGTACCACAAGCTTTGGGCCAAGTGTCTTGCCTACGTGTATTTATGTAGATCACATACTTGCCCAGTGCCTGAGGAGACCAGAAGACAACAGATCCCAGGGAACTAAGATTACAAACAATTTTGAGCTGCCATTTGGGTCCTATGAACTGAACCTGAGTTCTCTTTTAGAGCAACTAGAGCTATTTCTCCAGGACCCAAAGCTCAAAGATTCAATAAATCAAATAACAAATGCAATGGAAAACATCACAACAGACCAACTGGAAGAATATAAATGAATGAAGACAAAACTAAGGAATTAGTACATGCAGATAATAAAGAAGAAAATGAATGATTAAAACCACACCAACAAGATAAACAACAGAAGACACCAAACCTAGGAATCTGTGCTATCAAACAAGGAATTAAAGTGAAGACTAAAGGTACATGAAACATTCAGTACCGTCCTTGCAGATTATTTCCCAAAGCTAAGGAAAGAAATGACACTCAAACACAAGACACATTTAGAACCCTGAGCAGAAAATACAGGACCCAAACTCATTCTCCTTTACTGTGCTTCATTTTCAGTCCTCACAACTTTTTCCCACTCCCCCCTCCTTTTATATCTTGAACAAGCGCTCTACCACTGAGCCATATCTCCAGCCCACCAGGCATGGTGGTGCACACCTTTAATCCCAGCACTCAAGAGGCACAGGCAAGCATATCTCTGTGATTTCAAGGCCAGTCTGGTCTATATATCAAGTTTCACTCCATCCTGGGCTAAATATTGAATCCTAACTCCAAAAAAAGAAAATGGAATACAAATACTTATTTTTACTTGTAGAGAAAACTATAATGACTTCACTTAATCATAACTACACCTAATTCACACCTAATTTTGAGATCTCACATAGTCTAATTAGAATTCTCTCCCCAGTCCTTTAAATTCCTCTCCTTCCAAAGATGACTACATCCTGGGAGGTAGAAAAAGACACTTCTCAAAGATGTCAACAACTACCAGCACCTTAACATTTCAGCAGCATTTCATGCACCCAACAACCGCTGATGAATCTGATCAGAATGCATTATTACAAAAGAACATTATATAACAAACAAAGTGCTGGACACCAGGAACCCTAGAACTCGAGAGGTGAGAGGCAGGAGGATCACTCACAAGTTTGATGTTAGCCAGGCCTTCATGAAGAAGCCCAGTATTTTGTACAATATATGTCAGTAAGAGAAAAAAAATTCACAAATCATAGAAAAAGATTATTTTTATATTCATAAAAAAGGGAAAAATGCGGAAAGAAATCGGGAACATGAGCTAGGTACGTGGAGCATGTCTGAAATCGCAACCAGCAGGAGCCTGTAGCAGAAAGACACTGCGTCTGTGACCCGCCTGAGCTACATAGCAAGTCCCATGCCAGCTTGGGCTAAATAGGAAGAGCCTACTTCAAAAATTAATTTGTTAATTAATTAATGATAAAATGTTTAAAAAAATGTAACCTGACAAACTAAGTTCAATTCCTAGACCCACAACACAAAAGAAGAGAACCAACTTTCTGAAGTTGTACCACATACATGGCCACACACATGTACACACATATATACACACAATAAACAATGTAAAAAAATAATAAATAGATAAATAACTCTAGCACATAGAAGGCAGGTTCAAGAAGGCTACAGAATGTTAGGAAAAGGGGTTCCAGAGGGAATGAATGGGGGAAGAGGGGATAATGTAAAGGGGAAATATAGCCAAAATACATTATATACATGAATGAAATTGTCAAATAAACTGAAAAATATTTTTTTTAATGATGATTTGGGAGTGGAGAGATGGCTTTGCATGGAAAGGCACTTGTTGGGCAAGCCTAGAGAACTGAGTTCAATTCCTGGACCCCACAGATGGAAGAGAGAACTCCTCCACAAAGTTGTCCTGCGATCTCCATATGGAAACCTTGGCACACATCCCCCACACACATCATGCACACACATGATAATCAGTGTGTGACTGACTAATCAATTCTTAAAAAGAAGATTTGAAAATTGGTACAGCCTCAGTTCACAAATTCAAAGACAATCTAGACTACAACACCAGATCTTCGCACCAAAAAAAAGAAAAGAAAAGGCTTGGGCTGGGGAGATGGCTCAGTGGGTACGAATGCTTGCTGCACATGCATAAGTGGTTGTACCACACCTGTAACCATAATGCTGAGGGGAAAGTGAAAACAAAAGTACACTGACCATAGTTCAAGAACAGCCTATACAATATACACACAAAATGATGTTTGCACTTATTAGAGAATGCATGAGAATGACAGAGAGCAGATCTATACCTGTCTGGGGGAAAAAGATTCATGCAACATAATAGAATAAAAAGACTATTTTGTGGAAGTAATCATATTATTTTTCCCTATGTCTACATGTTAAAATAGTCTATAGGCAGCTTCACAGTGGGTTATATGAAGAAAAAAGTTCTACATTAAAGTTACGTAACCCAACAGCATGAGTTTTAAATGTACGTGGGTTTCATGTTTAAACTCACTTTTCTAAAGTGTGTGTATGCTTGTAATTGTAGGTGTATGCATCACATGTGTGCAGGTACCAGAAGAATCCAAAAGAGGGTATCAGATGTCCTGGGACTGGAGTTACAGGTGGCTCTCAGGTACTGGGTACTCAGAACTGAACTCACATGCTCTGGAACAGCAGCACTGAGACAACTCTCAAGATTCTAAAACTTGTGTGTAAAGCCAGTCATTTCCCTTGACCATGACTTGGTGTTAACATGGCCTGTGCTGGAGATGGGCTGTAGCACCAGAGCTCTTTGGTCCTTGTCAGCCTTAGAATGCCACCATACTCATTCACCTGTCACCGCACAATGGATGCTGGCTGGAACTTCCCACAATCAGTACAGGTGTTTGGCTATCTTTTCCACATAACATAAGCAACGTAACATACTAGAGAGTAAGAGTTGGGCACAGCAGAAAACTCTGAAGGTGGTAAAAATTCTGAGATGCCCTAAATTTAATTACAAATCCCAAATGGTGCCAGTAAAGATACCCAGTTATCACCACATCCTGACCCATTACAAAACTGTTGTCTTCACATAAACGCCATCTTAAAACTGCTTGCTTTGTGTTATCGAGCAGTTTTTTTAAAAGCACAGTTGTAGTTTAATATAAAAGATTTTAGCTCAACAGTTAGGAGAAAGAAAGTCACTCAGAAGAAAGACAAGCAGAAGGCAAGGGTGTGGGCTTCTCAGAAAGAGAGCCCCAAGTGTGGTCATCAGCTCAGTGGAGAGCCACAGCTCTTTGTATTTTGCCTGGAAGTCAAATAGCTAGAAAGGGAAAGGAAACGTTAAAGTCCAAGTTAGAACTTGGAAAAGGAAGCACAGCAGTGAAATAACTACCCGATGATTACTGTACAGCAGAGTAAATCCAGCGCAAACCGAACAGTTCGTGTATTCCTTCCTCAAATTTATCACAAAAATGCTTTTGGCTCCTCGGTCCAGCCGACAAAGTTCCAAATTGCTATCTATCCTTATTGCTGGTAACTGGAGTCTGGTCCTTGGAGGCTATCCTACGCAATGTCTCCACAAACTCGGAGAACTGTGTCTCAGTGATCTCATGTGTACTCCCCGGGATATGTGTGTGGTCCAAATTATCACTTTCAAGTCGCTGTCCCTCAGCCAAATAGTGGCATGGGCCTACAATCCCAGTTACTCTGTTACCTAGAGGAAGAAGCTCGCAAGTTCGGGGGTGAGGCTACTCTGCGTCAAACTCAGGATGGGAACATTGCACAAACGTCAGTTTAAGGGCAAACCCACAAATGCCCCGCTACCCAGCCTCACTTCTCCTTAAGCACCCCTCAATTTTAAGGCTCAAACTCTGCTCCGGTCCTCACATTCCGAGAGCAAGTCTCACCAAGACAGCGAGACCCAGCCTCAAAAGATACCACAGTACTTCACAAACTTTAAGCTCCGGAAGCCTCTCGTCCACCTCCGGGACTCCTCGGCTTGCGCGATCCCGGACCGGCCGCCGCCGAGCGCGCAGTTCCTCAGGCCCGGCCAGCTCGGTGGGATTCGAACCCGCCCGCAGCCCGCCCCCGGGTACCTGCCACCGGCTGGCCGCGCCGCGGACAGTTCAGCCAGCGCGGCGGGATCTTGTTGTAAGCCATGTCTGCACCGAACGCCGCCGCCTCGCCAACCGCTCGGTAGCCGGTGGACCCGGACCCCAACGCCAGCAGCTCCGCCGGGTCCTCAGCAGCGCGCCACTTTCATTCAGGTTCGACTCCGCGGCTCCCGGCGAGCCCACAATGCACCGCTACTTCCGCCCCAAAGAGCCCGCCCCCTTCCTTCCGAGGTCAGGGGAGGAAGCTCCGCCCAGGTGAGCGGGTGGAAGCCGCGGCCAACTAGGGGAGCGGTTCACCTGGCCCCGCCCCCGAGCCCCGCCCCCTTGTTGCTGAGCACCCGCCTCTGTCAGCCACGCCCAACGCCTGCTGTGCCTGCCTTTGTGCGCCCGCAAATAGCAGGCGTCTCTCCCCGTCTAAGCCTGAGAAACCACCGGAACGGAAGGATTCCAAGCTCCTTTCCACCTGTGGACTGACCTGCCACTTTCAAAAGGGTGTGTTTTACAAGCTCAAGTGCTTTCCCACTAATCCTAGCTGAAGTCTGCTGTCCCTGTCGGATCTGGGTTTGAACTGGCATTTGACAATCCTCCCTTACGTGGATCACAAGTCCTGAAAACCAGAACTAGGTTGCTAGAAATGAATTTCTTTTTCGGCGAGGGGTAGGAGACAAACTGCAAACGACTCATGAAAAATCAAAAATTAGTACCAGAAGCCTTAAGACTGTCATTTCTGGAGGAGGTAGTTTTGATTTTTTTTCCCCTTTCTTGTTTGTTGGTTTTTGGTCTTTTTGGTTTTCTCTCTCATAAGTATAATTAGGAATTTGGGGAAAATCTCTGTCTCAAAGGAATCACAAGTTATGTGTAATTGGCAGAAGTAAGAATTAACCAGTCGGCTACTACTAGGTCAGTGTAGACCAGCAAGCCTTGGGTTTCCCTTAAGATTTAAAACACCATTTGAAAAGGTGGAGCTATCAAGGCTTTGTTGTGGCTGTTAGGGTAAGCTGGTTCCACCTTCTGATAGCTTCGGTTGTCATCTTGACACACTGGGAGGAGGGAGCCCCTAGTGAGGATTGATTCGTCTGAGGCAGCGTCTGTTGGGCGTGTTCTTGATTGCTAAGTGATGGGGGAGGGCCAAGCCTACTGTGGACGATGCCATCCCTCAGCTGGTGGGTCAGTGGTTCTCAATCTTTCTAATGCTGAGACCCTTTAATACAATTCCTTGGTGTAGGATATTTGATCACATTGTAAACCCAGAGAGCAAACTGAAAAAAAAAAAAATTCTAATTGTGATATGGCTCAGGCTTTGATCCCAGAGCTTTCTGTTTATTGTAAACAAGCACCTGTGGTATAGTTCAGCCCTAGCACACACCTTTAATCTGAGATGTCTGTAAAGATGATTAAATAAAGTTAGCCTTGGGTCAAGACATAGAGCAAGAAACCAGCTGACAGGGACTAAACACAAAGGAGGGCTATTGAAGAGAAAGGTATTTAAGACTGTGGAGAAGGAGAAGGAGCTTTTTCCTTCTGGAACAAGAGTTGAGTAGGAAGGCTTCTTCCTTATGGGACGTCAGCTGAGTAGGAAAGTCAGTGCTTTCTCTGCCTTTCTGAGCTAGCAGGCTTTCACCGCGGCATCCAGCTCCTGAGTGTTTATTGGTAAAATCGAACAATTGGGATTTTGTCTATAAAAAACAATTCCTCGTGTTATGGTGACCGACAACCATAAGATTTTTTGTTGCCACTTCATAACTGTAATTTCGCTACTGTTATGAATCATAATGTAAATATGTTTGAAGATAGAGGTTTGCCAGGGCATTGCAATGGGCAGGTTGAGAACCAAAGGCCACTGGCTTCTCTGTATAGGAAAGCAAGCCGGGGATGTCAGCCAGCATTCCTCCAAAGGCCCTGCCTCAGTTCCTGCCTTCAGGTTCCAACTTGAGTTCCTGCTTTCATTTCCTTCCTTGATGGAACAGTAAGCCAAGTAAACCCTTTCCTCCCCAAGATGCTTTTAGCCAGTGTTTTATTTATATTTACAGCAACAACAAATATCAAACTAGAATATTCTTTCTCACACAAATAGAATCTAAATCCTACCTCTGGCCTTAGATGAAGGGAGACATGGCATTATAATCTGGTTCGAAATTTACAGAAGTAATTACTACTGCTAGATCAGTGTAGACCAGAAAGCCTTTAAAGTTAATCCAACTGAGTGTGTCAATCACCTGACCAAGAGTCACTACCCCACCCCCGATTTACCTAAAAACCTGCTGAGGAGATGGAAGGAATGCTTATCCTCTTAATGAGATAGTATACTTACCCCAAGTCCTTCCCCCAATGTAGTTACTTAAAGATTTTCACTATTTTTGTTCTGCTTTCAGCATTTTAACTAAAAAAGCGTAACTTCTCTTTCTGTATGCATTTTTTTCTAAATATTGATCCAAAGCCTGCACACACTTGCCCTGACCTTACGGACAATCCCATCCTATGTCTGACAGGCTCCTCAGAACTGCAACATTCCCCCCAATTCCAACATTTGCACTGAGCAGGAAAGGGAGGCCCTTGAGGCTCGGGAGGTAAACATAGGGTTATCAGAACACAGAAACTTGGAGGATTACTGGGGACCGCTACACAGCAGCATAGAAAGTAGTGAGCTACTACAACGACGTGGCACAAAAAGATTATAGAGTCGCCTGTGAGCTGCATACAAAGCTCCAGGGTTGTAGATTTTCTGAGTCAGCAGCCACGTGGCTAGGCTTTTCAGCCATGCAGCTGCTTTTGAGATAGCCCTGCTCCTTGCCACCCACACTCCTGTTAGGAACCCCAATAAAAACCTCACTGGTTCAATGAGTTGGAAACTGTTGTAGTCATTACTCTCTGTTGTGTGCTCCCTTTTGGGGGTGGGGGAGATAGATGTGTCTGTTGTGTCTCCCCAGCAAATGTCTGTCACATGACACCCCATGACCCGTGAAGCTCCTTGATGCTGCTGGCTTCCTTGCTCAACTTCTTGCTGTTCTCCATCCCCCTCTTCCCAGCACTACAGATTGCCTGCTTTGTTAGTTTCCACTGAAATGGTCCAGAAGCTCCCTTCAGTGTCTGTTTTTAAGTCCGTTCCTACATGTACTCAGCCCACCTTGTCCTTTTTATTCAGTTGAGGGCCCAGCCATGAGATGTCACTTTGGAAAGCCCCTCACAGTCCTGCCTGCAGGCCAGCCTAACCTATGCAATTCCTCCTTGAGGGGCCTGGGTCCAAGCTGACTGTCTCCCTGCACGTGCATTTGCATGTTTAAGCTTCCATCTGTGAAGTGTGTTTTCTCGGCTCCCACACCCTCCAAAATTGCTTCCATCAATACCAAATCCATGCCCACTATATCCACCACCGTCACCACCACGGCTGCCACCAAAGCCACCACAACCACTGAAGTTTCCTCCTCAGCCAAAATTGTCATTGCCACCAAAACCACTTCCACAACCACAACCAAAGTTTCCGGAGCCACTTCGACCTCGCTGGCTGGAGGAAGCATCTCTTGCTTTGACAGGGCTTTTCTGACTTCACAGTTGCGGCCATCCACCATACGGTATTTCTGAATAACAATCTTATCCACAGAGTCATGGTCATCAGAGGTGACAAAAGCCAAGCCCCTCTTTTTTCCACCGCCTTGGTCAGTCATGATTTCAACTACTTCAGTTTTCCCATACTGCTCAAAGTCATCTTGTAGCTGCTGCTCTTCACTGTCTTTTTAATACCTCCAACCAAGCTCTTACTCACGGTTAAGTGGGTCCCTGGTCTCTGAGAACCTTCTCTAGTGTTCCACAACTCTTCCATCTACCTTGTGTGGATGGAAGCGTAGCGGCATCTGCTTCCTCCACAGTGCTATATGTGACAAACCTAAAGCCTTGGATCTCTTGGTATTTGGGTCTCTCATTAACACATAGTCTGTGAGTGTCCCCCATTGCTCAAATAGCTCCTTAGGCAGTTGTCTCAAAGCTCAGCCCTCGGATGCAGAGCTTCAGCAGCCTGAGAGGCTGACTTAGACCTGACTGCAAGTCACTGAGAGCCTTCAGCGATGCTTAAAGTTTGTGTGCCATGGGGCTGGAGAGATGGCTCAGAGGTTAAGAGCCAAGGTCTTGCAAAGGTCCTGAGTTCAATTACCAGCAACCACATGGTGGCTCATAACCATCTATAGTAAGATCTGATGTGGTACCTTCTTCTGGCATACAGGCACACAAGCAGGCAGAATACTGTACAAATAATAAGTAAATAAATCTTTTAAAAAATCTGGCATTTGCATATCTATACTCAGACACCTTATATGGACATACTTAAATCATTTTATTTAAAAATGTTTTCTGGGTGTGAGGACTCACATGTGTTTGTTTGTTCTTTGTTTTTCAAGAGAGGGTTTCTCTGGATAGCCTTGACTGTCCTGGACTCAATTTGTAGACTAGGCTGCCCTCGAACTCCCAGGGATCTGCCTGCCTCTGCCTCCCTAAGTGCTGGTGTTATAGGTTCAACAATAACTACATACTGAGCACTCAGACACCAGACTCAAATTGATGGAAGTTTATTGAACCCTAAACAAAAACTGACTGATCAGGAACATAATATAGACTTGGGAGCCAGGCTGACATAGGTCTGCTCCTAAAAGGTTTTTTTTTTTTAATAATAATAGTAATAAACAAGTAACAAAACTGTAACAAGGCTTAGGAAACAAACCGCAACCAGGTAACAGCCAGGTAACAAAATTGCAACACGTCTCTAGGTGTAGGAAGCAACATAATATCATTTTGACTAGCTAGACAAAGTTTCTAACTGACCTTTAATTTGATTGGTTCTGCAGTTGGGGGACTTCATAGAGTGTCCAGGTAACAAAGTATACAAAGTTTGAGAAAGGAAACCATAGAGACATAATCTTTGGGAGACAGGGCCTGAAAACTTGAACTCTATTTCACCTTATGATTAAAATGGAGACGTGGAGGGGGAAAAAAATGGCTTCTGATATGCTGATATGTTAAAGGCGACAGCAGGTGTTAACAGAAGAGCCATACTTATGCCAAGAACTGAAGTAGGTTTCAATAGAGTTTAAGCAGGTTAAAAAGGTTACAACACTGGAATTACAGGTGTACACCATCAAGCCCAGCTAAGGATTCACATCTTTAATCCTAGAAGTTTTGGG